TTAGTTAATTTTGTTAACTAGACCTTTATTATTATATACATATTACATGTATAATAATATATTATTATTACTTTATTGATATAGGGAGCTTCTGGTGAGGAACTTCCTCTGCCAGTGTAGATGGATATCTACCCAAGTCATACCCATTTACAACTGGGTGGAATTTCAAGCTGGTTATGATCAATCATAGCTGCAACAATCTCCCTACCCCATCTGCTAAGTAAAAGAAACAATCCCATCTCCTTTCAGTTTTTGGGTAATGAGTCAACTCTTTCAACAAACTTTTATTAATTAGAGTTGTATAGGGTACTGAGGGTTTAAATTACCTGCCCAAGGTCAAGTCAGTATGTGACAGTCTTGGTCTCAAAATCAGGAAGACCTGAATACAAGTCTTTATCTGCTATGCCACATTGTCTTATAAATTTATTATATGATTAAAACAGATGCAGATATATGCACTTTTGAGATACATTAAAACAAATCCTTTAAGTATATTCTTTTAAAATAACAAATTCTGGCTAGTGGCCATAAGGGAGAATAGGGAATGAGCAAATTAATGGATTGTTGTTTTGCTTCCTATCTGAAGAAGAAAAATTTGCTAATTTAAGAATGATTTTGAGTTGATTAGAGGAAAGTGACAGAGTTTGAATTCTTTCCATGAAATTAAATATGCTTGAAAACCAATGCACATTTTCCTTATCTTACGTCCACTAACCATTGAGGAACTTAACTGGGAAGAATTTCTTGCTAAACATAAATAACAGCCTTTAAAATAGAAATGTAAATGGAAACTTAGTCATTTTTCTTAATGTTTTTCCTTGTCGGGGGCATGAGTCCATGTTTCCTAGTGATTAGCATGGTACATGGTACATATGTACCATGGTACATATTCCATATTGACAATGTCCACAAAAATAAACATGGTAATGCACATTGGTGAAACCATTTTATACATGTAACTAAATGGCAAAATATGTTCTGCTGATTCTGGAGATATCACAAGTAGGATAAAAACAAAGGTAAAGATAACAGCCCTTTGTAGGATTAAAGGATCATAGATTCAGAGCTAGCATGAACCTTAAAGGTCATCAAATCCATTTTATAGATCACCAAATGCATTATTTTTATAGATGAGGAAACTGAGGCTAGAGGTTAAGTGACTTGCCCAGGACGACACAGGTAGCAAGTCTCCAAGGCAGGATTTGAACCCAAGTCTTCCCAAATTCAAGTCTAGTCCTTATTTTCTTTTTGTCTTTGTACATCTGGTGCCTTATATATAGTATTGCCTCAGCAAATGTGTGTTGAATTGAATCGGGTTTTAAAAAAAGTTAGAAGGGAACAGAGAGTAAACACTTTTTTTTGTCTGTTAATTCATTTCTACTTTGTTCAAATGTGCCATATGATATATTGAAGTTTTTGTGTATTATTTTATTCTATAGTTTTGGTGACAGTAAATCTAAAGTAAAAAATAAAAGGTAAAGATACTGCATCTAACATTTTCCCATGGTAAAAATGATAAAACCTGTATGTTTATCATAATATTGTTATATTTGACAGGCCAGGCAAAAATGCAGAGTGAGAGAAATTTTTATATGTGCAATTTGCTTGAATGCTAAATAGTTGACTCAGAAGTATTTAGGAAAAGTTCCAGATTCTAAAAGGTACTTGCTTCCAACTTTACAGAGCTCAGTCTCCCTTCTACTGGTTTATCCCTACTTTGCTGCCATACTAAATTTGCTGTCATTAAATGATGTCATGCCATTTACAACTGAGGGGAATTCCTAGTTGGTTATCATCAGTTTACAGCGGCAACAACCTTCTTACCCAATCTAGATTCAAACAAAATGACCCCATCTTCTTTCAGGTTTTTTTTTTTTAGGTAATTTCATTGCATTTTCACTCAATAAACACTTAATAAACACATACCGTGCATAGAGGCTCTGGGAAAGCATAAAATGTTTAGATTAAAAAAAAAATCCCTGCCTACCCAGAGCTCAGAGTTCTTTACGGACATAAGAAACAAACATGAATATAATATAGACGGTGAATGTGTTAAGAGTTTGAAAAACAAAGTGCTACATGAAATCCAAGGGGGAAAGGCCCTTACAAAGTAGGGAAATTGGGAAATGATGTTAATTATAACAATATCTGACACATATAGCACTTTCAGGTTTGCAAAGAGTTTTGCATATGCAATGGAAGTCAAATACACTCAATGCAACATGTGTATGGAGCTGAGTGTTGGGGTGATACAGCAATACCTTGATCCCCTTGATGGCAGCAGGGCAAAGAGTCTGCATCAAAGACAAGTGGCTGCTTTACCAGGAAGAGCCACCTACTCAGTAAGTGGTGTTTTGGGGTTTTTTTGCTGTTGTTGTTTTTGTTTTGTTCTGTTTTTTGGTTTTTTTGGGGTTTTTTGCTAGGCAATTTGGGTTAAGTGACTTGCCCAGAGTCACACCAGCTACTGAGTGCTATGTGTGTGAGGCTGCATTTGAACTCAGGTCCTCCTGATTTTAGGACTAGTGCTCTATCCACTGCGCCACCTGGCTGCCCCTTTCAATAAGTTTTAAATGGAGAGATAACCTCTGAGATTCTTGCTCCCTTCTTCCTCTCTCTTGAATGTGGGCCCTGAAACTCTACTCATCTCTCTCTTGAATTTCTTGTTGGGAGCGGGGAGGGCTCCCTAGTGCCTAAAGAGGATGTAAGCACATAGCAGAAAGCAAGTGTACCCATCTAGTTGAGCCTAAGCCTGGACCTCGGACCTCTGGCTGTCTCTTCCACTTTCCATTTCTTTCCCTGAGTGCAGGGAAACCTAAGATGGATGTTAGCAGCCTTGATGGCAACTTTGGGAGTTCAAGAGTTGGGTAGCTCTTGGGTTCCTCGAATAAGTACTGGCTGACTTGTGGGAAGTACTCCCTGAAATAACTACAATGCTTCTATGAGCAGAAGATGACCCTTAGGAAAGAAAGGGGCCAAGTTATGCTCTGGTTTGTCAAGGGGTATGCACTTCTAGCAAATTTTTCAGACCATGTTCACGAAAACGAAATGGATGTTCATCAATATCACTTTCTTCCACATTCAGGTTGAATCTAATCTTCTGCAAGAAGTTTTTCCCAGGGGTAGCTAGGTGGCACAGTGGATAGAGCACCGGCCCTGAAGTCAGGAGGAACTGAGTTCAAATCCGACCTCAGACAAAAACGCTTGACACGTACTAGCTGCGTGACCTTGGGCAAGTCACTTAACCCCAACTGCCTAAGCAAAAAAAAAAAAGTTTTTCCCAGTAACACTTTAACCCCCACCCCCACTGCCTTTCCTCTGATATTACCTTCCATTTACATCATATATACCTCTTATATATATATAGTTATCTGTATGGTGTCTCTCCATTAGAATGGGAGTTGCTTGCGAGTAAAGAATGCATGTGTGTTTGCCTTTTTTTTTTTGCATCCCTAATACTAATCACAGTGCCTGGCACATAGTAAGTATTTAACAAATGTTTGCTGATGGATTGATTTAGGTCTCACAATCCTATAAAACAGAATATTATCATCCAGATATCATTCTCTTTTTATAAAGGAGAAGACTGGTTTTAGAAAAGTTAAGTGCCTTTCTTATGGTCACACACTAGCGTTGGATGTAAGATTTGAAATTGGACTGTCCTTACAAATCTGGCATCCCAGATATTAGGGTATCAGGGCAAAGGAGATGATAACCTGCTCCCTGGCCCTAGTACCAACACTGAAGTCCAAATTAATATAATAGATTTGGCAACACAGTATAAATCAAGTATATAAAGACAGAAGTGACAATGGGGTGGGGACGACATGAACATAGTTCAATTAATTAGGGCAAGCTTCTTAAAAGTGTAAAGCGGAGGGTGCCATGTTTAATCATCTAGTTTCTCAGTGTGCAGCTCTGAATGAGGTATTCACTTGGATCACCTCTCCCTTCCACACAGCATAAAGAAGTCCATTAAGGACATATCATTTGACTTTAAAGAACAGGTAGGAATTCATTAGGCAGTGATGGTATGGAAAGGCATTCTAAGCACAGGGAGCAATCTGAGCAAAGGTAGGAAACTGAGAAAAGCACAGTGCACATTTGGGAAGTAGAGTTGGATGCAGCTAGATGGCTCAGTGGATAGGGCACTGGCCCTGCAGTCAGGAGGACCTGAGTGCAAATCCAACTTCAGACCCAGGGCAAGTCACTTAACCCCCCATTGCCTCCAAAATTAAAAAAAAAGAGAGAGAAGTAGAGAGTAGTCCAGTTTGGCTAGAGAGTAGACGGGAGGCAATATGACATGAGGCTGGATAAGTCAATGGTGGACAGAAAGGGCCATTCACAAGAAATGCACACACTCCTTGCTATCCCTCATCACCAATTTATCCAAATCACAAACAGGCTTCTCCAAGCCCTGACATATGTTCAACTTCTTGGGTGCTTAACTGTTCCAGTGATTCCCATCTACAGATGATCTTGAGTGGTATTACAAAGGATGATCTTTGTGAACTAATGTTCACTTATCCTTAGTGCAGTTAGGTTGGGTAGTGAAAAAGTGCTATCACATTTCAGAGTAGAAAACCAAAAAAAAAAAATGAAGATTTCAAGTCCAAGGGCACACAGAATGCTATAGTAGAACCGAGAAATCAAATCGACCTTCTTCATTTCTAAATAAGACCGTGCCACACCAAAGAAAAGCTTTCCTTTAAATGAATTAGAGGCAAAGCAAGCTCAAATGAACCAGTATGATTTAGATGTAAAATCAAAGGTATCAACCTCATTATGTGGATCATATAATTTTAGCTGCCTATAACACAAACTTGCATCTCTCTATAATAATTTAGTCCCAAACACAGAAAAGGCTACCCTTACCATTTTCAACATCTAAAATATTAACACCCACTAATTTTCATCCACTCCTTCCCCCGGACCCTCCCCTACCCCCAACTCAGGCACAGACTTCCAGGCCAAATGCAAAAGGGTCCCCTCTTTCCACTTACGTGAGCTTTTGAAGTCTTTCTTTTTCAGTCTCCTCCTCATCATAGTCCCACGCGGGCTGGTAGTATAGACGCCTCGAGGTAACGTCCCTGTGTTCAGGGAATTCAGGCTATACCCACTCATGGAGGTAGGAGATATGGATGAAGACACCATAGCTGCTGTAAGAAAGTAGAAACTTGGCACAGAGAATTCTTGGACAGGGTGAGGTGTTATCCACACCTGCTAGCCATTTATAAGTCAGAGAAATATACACCAGGCACAGGGATGGGATGTAGGCGTCTCACAACAAAGACACAGATCAGGCCTCTGATGGTTTAAATGTAAGGCCGAACAAGTCCCTATGATCTTTTTGGAGCCCTGGACACACCATGAAAAACAGGGAGGTACTAACATCTTTTGCATTAGACAAGACACATTGAAACACAACTTCTTCATAACCAATACATTTAAGACATCAACTTATCTTTACAGGCGATTTGGGACATAGATAATCTATGCACATTAGCGCTATATACTAGCCTGAACTATAATAAATAACCTCATCACATGAAAGCAAAGCATTCTGAATTTCCATACCTTTTCTTAGCAACCAAGGCTGTCAACTTGGAAAAGAAAAGGATTTAAGAGATGTCAGAAATAACCTTTCATTGTTATGAGAAAGCATGACATCCATGAAGACAAAAATGGAATGAGAGAGGAGGAAAGGAGAGGAGAGAAAGAAAGAGAGGAGAGATGGGAGGAGAGGAGAGAGGGGAGGAGAAGGGAGGAGGGGGAAAAGGGGAGAGGGGAGTGGAGGAGAGAGGAGGGTGAGAGGAGGAAAAGAGGAGGGGAGGAGAGGGGAGGGGAGAGGATGGGAGGAGAGGGGAGGAGAAGGGAGGAGGGGAAGGGAGGAGAGGGAAGGAGGGGAGAAGAAAGAACTCTAAATTAGAAGGCAGGAGGAGAAAGCCTGGAACATTACGAGGGTTTTTCGGAGGAGGTGGTTTCTGGAATTTCCAGGCTGCCATCCTGCAATGGTCAGGGCGGTAGGTGTTATAATGGTCATAGGCGAGCAGCCTGCTGCAGTTCTTGGCCCAGGAATCCCAGGTAAGTCGCCTGTTGCTCCTCTGAACTTTGTCTGCCCGCATGAAAGGATGACAGGAAATGGGGGGGGGGAGAAGGAGAGGAAGAACCAAAACAAGAGGAAAAGGTAACTGAATTGTTCAAATAAAGGGGGGAAAACAACAAAAACAAAGAAGTGGTTTGCAAAGGAAAAAGATTTGTTTGGCTTTTCCCTTTTTCTCAGTGGTCAGCAAAGCAGATGATTAACATCTGGGATTGAAACCTTTCATCCTCCCAAGAATAACGCGTGCTTTTCTACAACCCATTTTTCTTCCTTTAAAGATGACGATTGAATCAATTTCTAATCTCCCCCTGTGCTTAGCTGCTGAGATTAAAAACATTTTTTAACTTAAAAGTCAACCCCATCAAGATATATGACACACTATTAGTAATTAAAGATTTGCAAATCTCCGCCAGCTAACAGCCCTTGTGTATTAAGCAAAAGAAAACTAGGAGAGATAAATCACCTTCTCTCCTGATTCTAGTAGTTTACATGTCAGTCACTACAAGTTACTGCTCTGACATTGTAATTTAGCCAACATCTATCACTGCCATTTGATTATCCTCAACAATCCACTATTTCTACCAGGATCTTATCTAGGGCTTCCGAAAATAAAGAAATCTTGGCCTGTGATGTGCTTTTATGTGATTCTGAGCAATGTCCTTTTTTTCAAGAAATGAATATTTGATTACTAGACTTGCATTTCCGTAAGATGCTTAATTCATTTTTGACAATAAGCTACATTTTGGGGGAAAAGCTTCTCAATCGTTTTAATGTGATGTTCGGTGGCATTTCTTTCCTTTCCCTAAACAACATGCTCTATATGTTCTTTGCTATTAAGGTTTGTTTCTCTACCCAAAGCTTGAGAATACAAACAATACTGATCTTTGGTATACTTATCTGCTATGTTTTTCAAATTGATATTTTCAAAAAGAATGAGATCAAACAATAAAGATCGACTCATACATCTTTTCACTTCTCCTAGCTCTAAGGTCATATGCTTTTCATTATTAGCAAATCTACCTATCAATACTCATTGCTTGTAACACCCCAATGTGGTAGTTGAACCCTCTCCTTGCTGGAAGGTCCAATCATTTATGTTACACATTAATGATCACATTAGCCTCAGAGCTGAGAAAAGTACTCATTAACTTCAAACTCTGTCTTATCTTCCATCCACTAGCCAAGCTAGTGCCTTTTACAGTAGATGAGGTAGAGCTAGCCATTGCTTAAGAGAAATTTCCCCAGTGCAATTTAATATTCAAGAGAGCAAGTCATAAATTCCCCCTAGGGAATAGTAACAACCTATATTTCTTATAACTGAAAGGCTACTCATCATCCTGGCTTCTGCTACCTTGCTCCTACTGTTATAATGTTATGAAGCTTAAGGTGTAGAAGGAAGAAGGTGAAACAGGAGAGACTCAGAGACAGCGGTCAGAAAAGCAGAAAGAAAACCAGGAAAGAACGCTATAGTGGAAGCCGAGCAACGAGAGCCTATCAAGAGGAAATGGCTAATGGTATTGAATGTTGTACAAGGATGGAGCAGTTTGGAGGTGGGGAAAAGGTCATGGGATGTGGCATTTGGAAAGTCAATCAGTCAGCCAGTCTTGTTAAATATCTTCTGTGTGCCAAGTACCGTGCCAATCAAAATGGGGATATAAAAAGTATAGCCCTTCTCATTCCGGAGCCAAGACTTTGCACATATGAAATAACTAAAAAAAAAAAAAAGACAGTATGCGATAAGGCCCTACTCCTCAATAGGACTGGTGCTTCCATCTGTGACCCTCATCTCATCCTCTCCCTCCTCTTCTAGGACCTTATTCCATTAGTCATTTAGATTCATTCTTGCATTTTCAAATTATTCTTTTATGTTGGCCCCTACCACCTGTTCAGAAATATGCTCAGGTCTCTCTTATCTGAAAAAAATAAAAGGCATCTGTTGATCCTGTAACATCTTCCCACTTCTAGCCCTCTCCCCCTCCTCCCTAGCCAAGTGATTGTCCTGTTTCTCCTTTCCCTCTATGACAAGCATCTAGAAACTTATAAGCCTTTTTTTTTTGGGTGGGGGAGAGGGGAGAAAGGGGGAGAATGCTCTGGCTATTGTGTCTGCTGAATCTACTTTTACTTTTAAAAAATTATTTTCTTCTGTGCTACATTAGGCTGTACAATAATACGTCCAAAGATTTCCACTGATCTCTGCCATGGAGTTAGCTTCTGGCCATCACCCCTGGCTTTCTCGTCTTTTCTCTTATTTCACAATTTTCTAACCCTTGATGGTACCACATGCTCCCACAGCTCCCTGAGCACCTGAATGCAGAGGATTCTTAAATCCATACCTATAGGCCCAATTTCTCTTATGAATTCCAGGCTTGCATTTCCAACTACCAGATATACTCACTTTGGGTATTCTCATTTATCTTAAACTCAGTGTGACCAAAACTGAACACTCTCACTCTCTCCTCTTTCTCTCTCCAATACTTGTAAATATCACTGTTCTTCTGTTAATGAAGCACAAAACTCAATAATTTCTGTCTCTTCTCTCTTTCTTATCCCCCAACATTCAATTAGTTGTTAAATCCTCTCATTTCCACCACCAAGATCCTCAAAGGCAGGGACTCTGTCCATTAAAAATATTTTTGATCTCTGGTACAATGCCTTGAATATAGTATGCACTTAATATTTCTCTCTTTTTTTTTGAATGAATGTACAAAATATAAATATTTTAGCTGAAGACTTTAATGTCTGCCATAATTTGGCTTTAGCCCACTTTTCCAGCTCTATTTGAAACTACACGTATTCATGTTCCAGCCAAAATGGACAATTAGACCAGGTGTGGTGGCACATGCCTATAGTGCCCAATGCTGGTGTTTGGCAATTCTGAACTGCAGTACAATGAAAACCAAATTGGGTGTCCTTACTAAGAGAAGCACCAATATGGTAAGTCCCCAAGCATGGAGGGCCACCATGCTGCCTAAGGAGGTCAAGGTAAGGAAACTGGAGCAGATTAAAGCTTCTATGCTGATCAGTATTAGTATTGCATATACGAGTGACTGTTGCATTTCTAGCCTAGGGAAGAGAAGGAGACTGAGTCTTAAAACAAAAAAAAAAAAAACAAAAAAAAATAGGACAATCATCGCTCATCTTTTCTTATCTTTTTTCTTCCTCCTGGAATCTTAGCATGCTATCTGTATGCCTACAAAAGAGACTCTTTCCCCATCTCTACCTGTTTAGACATTCTGTTTCTTTAAGGTCTAAATCACATTTTTCCTTCTCTATGAAGCCTAACCTGATACACACCATCCTTAACCACCCCACTACCCTGACAGCTACAAGGGATGTCTCCCTTAGATCTTTCATGCCGCTTTTTAGTCTATCTACACCTATGTATTTATTACATTCTGACTTATTTTGTAGTTCTCAGTATTCCTGTCTTAACCCCATTAGATTGTCAAACTCTTTGAAGAAACAGACTGTATCATTTTCCCCCCCCACCTTTGTATCTTCAGCACCGATCATGGTTCCTTGCACACAATAGGCCTTTAATAAATGTTTGTTGAATTGACTTGATGGTGTCAAGTGGTATAGTCTGGATAGCAAATATAAAAGGAATTCAGATAAAGATGTTGGACTTTGTCAGCTTTGGGATTTTATGTACTATCTTGCCACTTCTAGTAAAATAAAAGAGAAGGATAAATCCAAAGCCTGCTCAAGTCATAAGTTACAAGTTACAAAAGCTCACTTAGGGTCTCCCTGCTACTTCCCAATCTACATCAAATACCATGCCAAGCAAAAGTCAGGTGCCTTAGCACTGCTTCCAATTATATATTATCTGAAGAATACTGTAATGTATGTTCCCAAGTAGATGACTATAGACCTTCCTCCCCTGACTGGACAGCTGGCTTCCAGGTTTTCTGCTTGGGAATAGTCTTTATCCATCAGAACTCTTCTTTCCTACAGCATTTACAATCTACATTTTTCAACAATAACAAAAAAAATAAAATTTCTTTGCACCTCCCCGACCCAGTTAGGTTCCTAGGATCACAGAATGAAAGCTGGGAAGGGATTTCAGAAGTCATCTGTAGAGTCCCCTCATTTTACAGATGAGCAAATTGAGGCCCATGGACTGGTTCAAGGTCATGTAGGTTACAGGCATCAAAGGCAGAATTTGAAACCAGGTTCCCTGTTCTTTCCAATGCTAACTTTTATTCTTTGGGACTCCGCCAAAGTGAAATATGGACAGTACTCAATCTCTTCCCATCCAAGTGTGTCAAAGAAATGCCACAGAGATGCTCCACGCTGATATGAAGTATATATAATGAGATATAGATATAGATATATACACACACGTATACATACATAAATATATATATGTATGTGGGATATATTACATAATAGTAATTTGTTGCTTGTCCTTTGTTCTCGAAGAGGACCATGGCAAAAGGAAAGTGACGTCATGACTTGCAAGTGAATTGGATTTAAGTGAGGAAGGGCTGTGCAAAGTCACCAGCCTCACTCTCTCCTCCAGAGCCATCTGGGTTCATTGGCAAAATAATCAAGACTACTGAAGACGGCCCCCTCTCATAGTATGTATGCATGTACTCTGTGTGTGTGTGTGTGTGTGTGTGTGTGTGTGCGCGCGCATGTGTGTGTGTGATGATAAAGTATATAAAATGATAGAGAGTATCATTATGCTTTGGAAGAGATCTATGTACTTATGTGATAGAAAAAAACACGAAATCAAATGAAACAGTTACCTTGGTGTAAACTTGTTACTCAGGGCATTTTGAGGATTTTTTTTTAAACGGGCTGGGTGGTATGAGCATGTTTACATGTTGGCAGGAATGTAAACTGATTTTTCTAATGTAAACAAGCTGGGAAAATAGGATTCACTTTATAGAAAGGAGCTGTCCAAATAATTTAACAGTATACATGCATTTTTTTCAAAGTAAGAGACACCTGTATACTACATTTGGAAGAAGATAAGCAAGAGTTTCTGAAGAGAAAGTAGGAGATAGGATCGGAGCTGTAATCTAGGCAACCCATTTCCTCCATATCTTGTTGTTGCTCAGTCATTGTTCAGTCATGTCCAACCCTTTGTCACCCCTTTTGCGGTCTTCTTGGCAAAGCTACTGCAGCGGTTTGCCATTTCCTTCTCCAGCTCATTTTACAGATGAGGAAACTGAGGTAAATAGGGTTAAGTGGCTTGTCTAGGGTCATACAGCTAGTAAGTTTGTAGGCTGGATTTGAACTCGAGTCTTCCTGATTGCAGGCCTAGTGCTCTATCTACTGGGCCACCTACCTGCCAACTTTCCTCTCTATAAACAGTAAAAGATATTTATATTTATTTTATATTTATATTTTAGGTCTAAATCACATTTAGCAGTGTAAAATAGCAGTGTAAGGTACTGAAAGAATACTGGCCATAAGGTGGAAAGTCCCAAGACCCAGACTTGCCCCCAGCTCTTACCAGAGCTTAAATAAGTCCTTCTCTGTGAGTCAGTTTCCTTATCTTTTACACTGGGATAATAATGCCCAGATAACCTCCCTTACAGGGTGCCATGAAGAAAGTATTGTGTAAATTCCACAGTACTACATAAATGTGAATTATTATCATGCCAACTGCATTCTGGAGAAATATTAAGGTTTTCTCCTAGTACATGCAGTTTAGAGAGTAAAATCAACCACTTGAACCGAGTTGCAGGATAAATAATTTTATTCCTTTGTCAATATGCTGGGAAATTACTTAGAGCAAACTTTTTATTATTGGTGTGCAGGGAAAATAAAAAGAAAGAAGAATAAGTTGGCTTAAGAAAATAAAAAAAATTTAGAAATTGATCTGGGAGTCATTAATGGAGGAGTTTAGATAATATCACATTTCTATGACAAAACAGCATTGCTAGAAGAAATACACCTTCCTCCACTTGTTGGAAAGGTGGAGAACTATATATAATCATTCAAATGCTTAACTGCTTTTTTTTTTCTTCTTTGTTACAAAGGGAAGTTCATTAGGTAGGGGAGGCCAGGAAGAATATATTTAGAAATAAATGGAATAGAAAAACAAAAGTCATTAGTAAAACTTATGGGGAAAACCCCCCCAGCATCACTCAAGATACATACTCTGTTGCTTGACATATCCTTCCCCCAACCCCTGCCAAGTCAATGAAAACTTCACAGTATTGTGGAAATCCTTACACATTAAATAGTCTGTGTGTCAGAAAATACCATCACCACTGTGATCTGTAGAAATGTCCCATGATTTGGAGTCTACTGTCAAGCTCCTTATCATTTTTATTCAAATATTTTCAAGGATGCTAGATTAAAAAAATTGGATAATCTGCCTGCCCAGCACACTTTCTGTACTTTACTCAACATGCAAAATTAAAAATCTGATAAGAATGATGGGGTACTGTGGATTTCATTAGCTCCAGGGCTGTCTGAGCTCTATTTGATTAAAAAAGGGTGTATCCAGCCAATGTTCAGTATGGAATTATCTACTCCACCCACACCCCCCACCCCTAATGCCCCTTCTCAAACTGTGGAGGAAAAAGTACAGACTGCTTTTAGAGGTGTGAGGCATGCAATACAAATGAGCTCTCTACACTCAAGAAGGCAGTTCCAGAGAAATTTGCTATCTTCGTACGTGTACAGAAACATATTAATTCTCTTTGAGACACGATGATCAGCACCAAAGGAGGTCTGCAGGTTTGTGGAATAAAAAAAAAATAAGCAGCCTTGGCTTTAAATCATGGCTTAGGTGTTTTTTTTTTTTTAATTCTACAATAAGGGGAAATTTTGAAAACAAAACTACAGGAATTCCTCTAGTTGCTGTTTTTGGGCATGAAGCCTCTTACTCTTGGGGCATCTTTTGATTAAAGATGCTTAGCTGAACTGCATTTAAAAATTAATAGGCACATCGGTGTGCTTTGAAGCCATAATCTCTGCGCTTCTTTTCTCTTCTTGACATCTGAATCCTTTGTGGATCTTCACTGAGCATGGTGGACTGAATATGGATAGCTGGCCACAAAGCCAAAAAGATCTGGTTCCCAGTCCCGCCTCTTCCACACACCAGCTGGGACCAGGGATAAGTCATCTCACTTCTCAGGGCTCCAGGCCACTCTTGAAGCCTATTGGTTGTTCAGAGAGTGCCAAGCTGCATTCGATAACCTGAAGTCATTTATATCAATGAAATCAGAGGTCCAGTTTCTGGCCCTATTAGTATACTTTGCAGTTCTTGATTTTCCCAGAATATATTGCCAGTGAAATGTCCACTATCAGACAATGTAGCACCCAATCTGGGAAGGGGGAGTTTCTCTATCATCCTGAGAAGAAAAGATGTCAGAGATGAGGCCAGACCTGACAAGGAGGTGCCTCTCTTCTTTCTCAGCCCTGAATATGTGAGAGCACACCAGCCATGCTTTTGAAACTCTGGGAAACAGAATATTCTACAAGGAATGAAGACTAATTCCGTGACTTCTTTAAAGCAGGAACATTTAGATGCTATCCTTAAAAATTATGAAGGAGCAGGGGCAGCTAGGTGGCGCAGTGGATAGAGTACTGGCCCTGGATTCAGGAGGACCTGAGTCCAAATCCAGCCTCAGACACATAACACTTACTAGCTGTGTGACCCTGGGCAAGTCACTTAACCCCATTGCCTAGACAAAAACCAAAAAAAAAATTATGAAGGAGCATAGGAATCCACTGTAATACTGTCAAAACACACATTCAGGTGTGCCTTTTGCAGCTTCATTGTTTTATTTTTAGGAAGGAAATCCAGCATTAAAAATGCTAAGTGCCTCCCTTCCACCTGCTCCATTGGCCTTGGGGACTTTGCTTTACATTAAGCAAGACTTTAATAAACACTCTTAAAACTCTTTCATGCCTCAAATTTATGGATTTCCATGAGGGTATATTCAAGCAAACCACATATAACTTGAAAAGGGGGATTTGCCAGATGAAAGATTATCAATAAACAATCAATCACCAAGAATTTATTAAGCTCCTGCTATGTGCCAGACAATGGGCAAGGTGCTGGGACAACAAATGAGTTAACTTATAATACTGAAAAGAATGGAGATAGACTCCACCTCAGCTCCATTCCAATTTCTCATTCCCCTGGACAAAGCAATAACTGTGAGGAAAAAAAAATAAGAGCTACAAGGAAATTTATCCAAACGGATCCTCTTACCATGGTCAGGTCCCTTCAGAGCTACTCGAGTCTGGTGATAGGGAAGGATCTCAAGCTTGACCTGGTCTGTAGTATTGGCAAGGAATTGTGTTGCTTCAGCCATGGTGCAATATTCCATGCTAGTTCCATCGATGGAAAGAATATGATCTCCAACATGCAATGCACCACATCTACAGAAAGGAAAAGATATAGTATGGTGCCCAATTGGAATGTGACTTTTAGTTCCTTCAAATTGTTCATGAAAATTTCAAGAGATATTTATTATCATTTAAAAAAGAAAGGAAAAGTTCAAGTGTTATAGGAGTCATCCAATGTCAAATTTTAAGTTTTTTGATGCAAACCTGATATACAAATAGAGACGTGAAGGCTTGGAAAAAATGGAAAAATTTTGGAAAACAATGTATTTTTCACATTCTTTTCCAGTTTTTGTGGGGGGGAGGATACATGGAAATAATTTAGAAAAATACCTTTTTTCTCTCCTTCCCCCTGAATTTTTTGTTTTTCTTCGCTTAGGCCATCGTATCTTTAAGTAAGAGTTGGTAAGTACATAATAATGCAAGACATTACTCAAAGAATTGGAATGGGGTAGCTGACTACTAATATATGTGTAAATGATAACAGAATAATGAGAACAACCTGGTGGAAATATTAGCTAAGACTCTCACACAAGCACCCAGTTCATCATTTTCTTTTTGTTTTATTATTCCAAAGTTAAACATTCATTAGAACAGAAACCATAAATGATGATGGAAATTATGTGAGATTCAGACAAGTCATCAAACTAGGGCTGGCATGGTGACTTGAAGGGAAAATTGGGACAAGGGGAAGGGGAGCTAGCTGTTACATCTTGCTGCACTCAAGAAACTGGCTACTCGATGAGTTGAGGAATGCAAACACAGCAGTCAGCACCCTGACGTACCAATCAACTGGACAGCTCCTTTAACTGGTTATCCTGTGTGGAATGGGGGAAAGAAAAACAGAGGGAGAAAACTAAAGCATCCTGCACCACTGAACTGGATTAATGGCTATTAAAGGCTTGAATGTAGGGTAAGACCATAGTGGAGCTATAGACTGACCACTACAGGAGGCTGCTGCTGACAGTACTGTTTTAAGAGGTAATACTGGGAAGAACTGGGGTGTAGGGAGAAAAGAACTAGAAGCATGTATAAGAACCTGGCTCCTAAAGCATATTTTTTTCCCCATTTTGTAATTTTAATTTAAAAAAAATTTTTTTCCATTTGCTTTTGAGTTGAAAATTTTTTCTCCCTTTTTCTCCCCCTCCCACCCTCCCCAAGATGGCGTACAATCTGACATAGGCTTTACATTTACATACCCATTAAACATATTTTCACATTAGTGAAGTTGTAAGTAAAAATTAAAACCAATAGGAGGAACCATCAGAAAGATGAAACAAAACTCAACTGAAGGTAAAAATAAGTGAGAGCAATTCGACTAAAGTATATTTTTTAAAAAAATTAAAAAAAAATTATTCCACAACTTCAGTAGCCTACCTCTCAGGGCAAAAAGTGTTTTTAATCATCCTTTCCATCTATAAATATAATTTCATTTGGATATGCTGGGTCACTCCAAATGGAGGAAATGAAGTCTTTCTTATCAGGAACTGTAAAATGATTTTGTAGGTGGGAAACCATTCTTTCCCTCCCATCAACTTCAGCAACATTCTAAAATATTAATTAGAAAAAAAAAACCTAAGGAAAGGAGTTTCATTTTTATTGTGTTGTAGGAATGAGAAATGCACCTTAAAGGGACACTTCAAGGTTGTAAAACCTTAAGATTAACACGCCATGACAGCTGTTTCCCAGTGCAGGGCTTTTCTTTAAGGATTCCAGCCAGGTAGTCAATTTTTTTTTCATTTAAAGAAAATAATAAGATTTCATGGCTATAGGGTTTAACTCCTTTGGATACTTCACTGCATGCTACATCACAAACAAAGAGCTGCTTGACTTCTCTATGGAAATAATGGAAGGTTTATGTGGCAATGCATGGTAGGAGGCTTTGCTTTGTTTCTTAAAAAAAAAAGACTTAAAAAAAACTGTACCAATAATCAAACCAAACATCTGGAGAGAATTCCTATGGGACCACTGGTAGGGCAGGTAAATTTTGAGACCCAACAACAGTGACTTGTCTCTGTAAACAAAACTTGTAGAAAATGGCAAGGAAACTTGATTTTTGTTTTTTCATTTGCTTGTTTCATTTTTTTTTTGTCATGAAGTTTAGAAGATGAAGCATTTTCATGGACACTCACCTGTCGGCAATACTTGCAGATTTGATTTTGTCGATGATGATGACCTGCTTGTTGCAGCACATTGAGGTACTCAGTGCGACACCAAGGCTGGAACCAGGGGTTTTAGCAACTTCAATAAGCAGTGGCCCAGAGGCTGTTGCCACTGAATCTGTTGGAAATTTAATTTAAAAATAAAAAAAAAGAGGTCGGTGTAATGTCAGTATTGATCATAATTCAATCATACAGAACTGCAACAGGCACAGAATATATCAAAACGTTGAGCGGTGATGTCTCTGTGTCATAATATTAGTGACAGATACATCTTTCACAACATATTCTTGTGCTTTTCCGATTCCCTTGAGGGCACTTGAGTCATGGATTAGTGGAATCCTTTCACATACTCGAGGACCGAGTGGTTACAGACTCCTGACATCTTTCTACTTTTGCACTCCTCTAATTTCCTTGATTTTATATCTAGCTGAAACCTGCCTCCATGTCACTTTTATCCAGGACTCATCACTCTAGTTTCTCAAGCCAAAATATCTAGTATCTCCTCAATATGATAGTCCTTCAAATACTCAAAAGCAGATATTAAGATCCCCTTCTCCATTTATTTCATGGAAGAAAATGCATTAAATCATGTTAGCATCACTGGTAGATGCAACAACACAGATCATTTTACTCAATTATTTCTTGATTACTAATAGTAATATTCAATCCAATCTAATTTCATATATACTTATTAAGTGAGGTACATGGCTACAGTCCAGTGATATAAAGATAGAAGACAAAATCAGCCCCTGTTTGGAAGTTTACATTCTACCCTCAAGAAATGACACGTAAACAGATAAGTATGTTCAATTACCGAAACTTGTAATAAGGAGCTTGGTGAGAGAGAGCCTGGAGCTGTGCCATAAGTGCTTGTGAAGTATTTGCAAAGTGCATGACAGTAATGCTCTGAGTTTTTATAATTTTGAATTTCTTTTTAAACAGAAGTGTTTTGTACATTTCTTTTCAAAAAATGCCAAATTTGTCAGTACTGCATGTACATAATTGTGTTGATTCTTTTGCTGTAGCATAGACTCTATTTACAAAATGTTTGTTAAAAGTTTTATGGATTTTTATAGTGAAATGTTTACAGCTGTTTAATAAAGAATTGTATATATAAAAAAATAAGTATGTTCCAGATCATTTGGGAATAGAGAGAGCATTAAAAAAATAGAGGGACTGGAAAAGGCTTCCCACAGGCAGCCTTCTATTACATGCATAAATTTATGTATATAAAGTTCTGTGTAAACCTTAAAGTAATATATTAATGTTAGTTATTGTTATGGAAAGAATTGTTATTGAATGGAAAGAAGACATGTAATCCATGAGAGATAATATCTAAGAGAGGGAGCAATAAAACAGGTGTTTATTAACAGGGAGAATCAGAAGTCCTAAGTCAAGGGAACATGAACTTGGATAGACTTCAGGAGACAGTGGAAGACAGAAGGGTCTGGAATGCTGTGGTCCATGGGGTCACAAAGTATCAAATGTGACTGAAGGCTGAGCAATAAAGTCAAGGGAGAAAATTTGACTTTATAGGTTTTCACTGACACAATGTCATGAGACTCATGACCAGAATTTGGCATTATAAAGTTATACTTTATTGAAAAGGAAAAAAATGGCACTTGGGTAACATTAATATCTTCCAGGAAATTCAGCAATCAGGGGTGAAATACTACAGAAAATATCTGATTAAGGATCAAAGGAGTCAGAAATAAAAAGCCATATTGTTGTAGGGGTATACTCTAGCCCACCTTGACAGAAGGAAGAATTAAATAATAAATGCTTATTGGATTGGATTAGAAACAAAACTTGTTAAGAATGTTTTAAGAGGGTCAGGTACAGGTTGGGCGAGATGGTCACTGATATTCTTTTAGGCTGTGTGCATCTCTGATTCTATGATAATCTTATTTATATTGGCATTTTCAACATTTTTGTACAAGTCTCTCACCTAAAGGAGGAATTAATTAGTGCATGGCACCATTGCTTGAATAAGATGGAGAAATGACCTTTTAATAGCCTAAAGTAACACTTCTAGGATTTATTTTAGAATAGGAAGACCTGGAATGAATCTGGGTTATATGAAGGCTATATACATTGGCTGACATTTTCTTGAAACTGCAAACTTGTACGAGACTTTTTTCAATCGGGTGCTCACAAAGTTCTTGCACTGGCTTTTAAGAAAAGAGATTAAATTTCTTTAGAGACTAAATGAAGAAGGTATCTTTCAAGTCTTGGAAACTTTTGTGCTGGCATTCCTGTTACGGCACCAAAACTTTTTTTTGTAAAGACTGATGTATTGGAGGAAGTCATGGGGACAGCATTTATACAAAAAAAGACCTACGCTCAGAAACTGTGCAGTAGCTTGGCCCCTACTCTTCATGCCAAATAATACACATGGAAACAAAATACAAATCAAAGGGTAAGGAATTGCTTGCAATTGAGGCTAACAATCAGTATCATTTGGAAAGTTCTTGACACCTGGTGACAGCCTTCACCAATCATAAAAAGTCAGAGCATTCATCAGGTCTTACTCAGATGCATGTTCCCAACAACAAAGAAAAGTCAATTGGATATTCCCAAATGCTACTGCACGTAAGTCACAAAAGTTCTTATTAAAAGTGGTATCAGAAATGTGCCAGCATTTTACTAAGATATCTAGCAAATGCAAAGGAAAAATCAAAGTGATATAGCTGGATGAAGGGGGGGAAGGAGTTACACATTAAGGATGGCAGGAGAGAAGAAATAGACATGACAGCATGAGAAGAAACAAACAGAAGAAAGAAAAATCACAAAGAAATCAAGTTCAAAGCCCCTGACAGAGAATTAACTCATATTGCAGTAAAGCATGGGTGTGAAAAAAGAATCATACAGACATAAATTATTCATGATTAAAGAGGTTTCAGTCATTAAGATATTTATATCAACAGTAAAGCACTTATGCACTGTGGTGATTTATGGCTACTATAATTATGTAAGTTACACTGATGACTGTTTACATAGAAAACACTCAAGATTTTTTCATTTTGTTAATCAATTTTCCTTCTGAACAGTGCATTTCAATCAGAGGACAAGGCTTGATTAAACCCCACCCAAGACAGCACAATGATTTTTTGCAAGTTAATACTAACATGGCCAGGCTAACATATCCTTTAGATAAATGGTATAAGGAATGAGGTATTTATCAGATTATTCATTAGCAAAATGTCGTATTATTTTCAACTTAGCACTCAAATAGTGATATTAAACCATTTCATCAACTCTCTCGTGAACTAAACAACATATTATTTTTGAAAGATTGAGAAGCAGACTATTGCCTGTCTAAGGATACTTCTGGGGAAGTGGCCAAGTATATGAAATAACCAGCACTATAGAAATGTGAATTATTCATATAAAACTACTATTATAATGCCTGAAAAAGGTTAGAAGTGAGTGTGAGTCCCTGAAGGCCATGACAATAGCATGTTAGCTTTGGACAGATTTTGAGTCAGGGGCCCAGTGACTATTTATCATTAGAGGGAAAGCCTAGATAAAGTTCAGCCAGTTAATAATCACAGTTAGTAAGCATTTATTGTTTGTAGGCACTGTGCTAAGTGCCGGAGACACAAAAAAGCAAAAAAACGGTTTCTGCTCTCAAGAGGCATGCATTTTAATGGAGACAAAATTCAAAAAACTAGATAAGCACAAGATATATACCAAGTAGACAGAAGTTCAGAGACCCGGCAGAGAGCCCTATGCTGGCTGCAAAATTATGTATTTTGGTTTTTTTTTCAGTCACAGGAACTCTTAAAAAAGACAAATTGACTAATTCTGAAAATAGATGTGTTTTGCCTCAGTAGTTGGAATGTCCCCATAGATGGAAATAGATTCTTTAAATATTGACATTTCATGGTTACAGTTATCCACACACATGTACATACGTAAACTCATATCTTCAGACAGACAGATAAGATAGGTGGATAGGTAGGTAAGGTTAGAAAGATAGATCAACAAAGTAGGTAAGTAGATAGGTAGATAGATGGACAGATAGATATCCCCCCTCCCTCCCTCCATCTATCTATCTATCTATCTATCTATCTATCTATCTATCTATCTATCTATCTATCTATCTATCCATCCGGATGGAGAAGGAAAGGGGGGGAAGAAAGTGGGAGAAGGGGAGGGGAAGAGGGAGAGGGAGAGAGATAGCCTGAGAGCTCAACCCATAATGAGCCGGGAATCTAGGATTTTAGGACAGGCATTATAGTCAGTCCAGCAGTGATGACCTAAGGAACAAGGGTTCTGGGACTCCAGTCCAGTGGAAGCTAGCAGAGATTCCAGCTTTGGAACTGAATTGAAAGCCTGTTTCCTTCCTTGTTCCCCCGAGATTGAGGCAGTATGAAGGAGAAGTACGTCCCTGAGTTTAGTGGAGGAAATGTATGTATATTTGTTCATTCTATATTTTGGAAGTAAATATCCCTTTGTAAAAGTAATCTGATGTGAAGTGGTTAAATGCACCTAGGACACAGCCACTGGGTCTCTAAAAATCAACCAGTGGTGGCTTGAGCTGATGGCGGAGAAGAAAGATTCCCCCAAATCTGTTCAGAGTAACTGAGAACCCTGAGGTAGGTAAAATGTAACAGGTCTGGCCAGGACAGAGTAGAGAGTGTCAACTATGTTACATTAACTTCACAAAATCTCTTCTACATGTCCCCTTCTCTCCACTTACACTGCCATTACCCTGGTACATCTAAATCATCATTATCATCACTACCATCACCATCACCATCCATCATAATAGCTAACATACATATATGTGTGTGTGTGTGTGTGTGTGTGTGTGTGTGTGTGTGTGTGTGTGTGTGTGTATATATATATATACATATATATATATATATATATATATATATATATATATATATATATATATATATATATGTATATAGCACCTATAATGTGCCAGGCACAGCGCTAAGCTCTTTACAAATATCTCATTTGATCCTCACAATAACTCTGGGAGGTAGGTGCTATTATTATCCCCATTTTATAGATGAGAAAACTGAACTGAATGGAGGTTATGTGACTTGCCCAAGCTTACACAGTTAGTAAGTGTCTGAGGCTGGATTTGAACTGAGGTCTTGC